CCTCCCCTCCCGCCCCCCCGCCCGAGTCCTTCCCCCCTCATCTGCAAAACAACCGCCGGCAGCCGCCGCCGCAGCAGCAGCAGCAGCAAAGCACGGCTCTGCGCGCCGACTACAAGAGGGTTAAAAGTGTAGATTGGATTTCACCCCGGGAAATCGAGCGCACGGAGTGAACTTGAATCTTTGGCTATTTAAGGAGGACTGGGGTTTGTTGTGGAGTTGTGGTGATTCAGGGCAGAGCCCCGTCCTGATTGATTTCATCTTTCTCGAGTCTCAGATGACTGTAAAATGAACAGATGAAATTATTCCTTTTTTGAGGCTTTTTCTTAGGGGCTCTCCGGGCAGCGCGTTTGCAAAAGCGAAGTCATGATGTATTCTCCAATCTGTCTCACTCAGGTATAGACGCATTTTGATTTATTTCATTTGTTTGCTCGTTTATTTATTTATTTTCACGCGTTTTCTGTATTTATGTGTGAGTTGCTCATGAGTCACTGTAGCACTTGTAACGGGTTAAGGCGCGGTTGTGCCGCTCCTCGGACCCAAACTCCGCTCGCAGGAGGGATTCGGGGGATGGACTGCACCAGGCCATTGTTTTGGGGGGATCCGTTCAAAGTGTCACTCGCAGATAAATATTGTTAATTGCTGGCGCACAGCGAGTCAAAGGTTAACGGAAGGGAAATGAGCGTAATTGCGCTAAAAAAGCGGGTTTGATAAGTATTGATTTGATTGGAATCAAGCGATCCGCACTCTTTTCAGCTCTGCGGCATGCGTGGAGCCTAATTAAAGGGTTTAAAAAGGAAAAGTGCTGTCTTTGACCGAAGGGAAAAAAACAATCTCAGCGCTCTGCGGTGCGAAGTAACCCCGCCTGATGCTTCAGGAGCTCCGCTGCCTGCAGCGGCCGAGCTCGGAGTGCGGGGCCGAGCGCGTTCCGCTCGCAGCGCACCGGGATCTCTCCCGCCCGGCGCCACTGTCGGGACCGCTGCTCGGGCCGCGGCTGTCGCCAGGGGAGCGGGGGAGCTCCGAGAGCAGCTCCCAGCGCTGCCCGGTGCCGGCTCCGGGATCTGAGCGGTCTCGAGAGCCGCCGGCGGAGGGTCCTGGCGAGGCCGCGGAGCGCGCTCGGCACCGGCGCTGCAGGGGAAGCGAACGCCGCGGCCCCGGAGCGTTTTGCGAAGGGAAAACCCTATGCGCAGAGCCAGGGGACAGTTTTCAGGAGCGTTTGTGAAAGTCTGTCTGAGGAGGATGTGATGTAAACTGATGAAGTGATAACTGCTTGCTTCCACATTGGCGCGACAAATAGCTCAAGAAGAAGAAAACGTGCGAAAGTAACGTCTCGTGTGCGCCGTAATTAAGCGGCCAATACCGCGCTTATAGCTGCACGGTGAATAAATAAATACGATTTAAGTTATTCGACAATTAGAAAGCATTGTAATTCAAAAGGACTGAAGTATTCATAAATTGTGAATGGAGATGGAAACAATGATAAGGCTTATTCAGTGATTGGATACAGTCCTGTAGCTTTTTGGCTGACACATTTTTTATTGTTTATATTTTGTTTGGCATCTGAGCGTGATTGACTTAGATATGGATATTTTCAGCAAGCAAACGTGAGCTTCAGTGGAGCAAAGCTGGAAAAGAGTATTGCAGGAGTATTTCTTCTTCAAAAGAAAAAGTGCTGCGTGTAGGAAGCACGTTGTGTAGCAGATAGATGTACAGTTGCAGGTACACATCAGTAAATACTTACTTATGGTGGAATCTTCCATTAGTAGAAAATAACGGTCTGTGTCCTGCAAAATCACTGTCAGGAAGCAAGATCTCTGTGCTGGAGTGTGTACCTCAGAGTACAACTTGAGGCAGCAGCTTTTGCACTGAGAGCACACACGTTTCCACCACCACCTCTCGCACAGCGCGCAGCTCACGTTGCTCTTTTCTGCTCTCGTGACATCTTTTTTCCCATATGCTCGCTTATTGGGCTCCTAGGTGCAGTAGATTTCTTCACTCCGCAGATCTTTATTAAAATGCCATGCTTTGGCATGTACAGAAACACAGCATTGCACTCTGCAGCCACAGATATAAGGAAGCAGTTCCTGGCTCCTGCGTGTTAATAACTTCATGCTTTACACGTTACAGTCATGCTGCAGCATCTGCCGTGCAGAAGCGGTTCACACGTAGAGGCACATGCACGCAGCGAAATCACAGCAGTTTGATTTTAATTTGGAATTTTTATCTGTCTCTTTGCAGCCAGGAGAGCATTTTTGAAATTATCTTTCCCTAAATTAAAAAAAAAAAAAAAAAAAAAAAAGAGGTTACAATGAAAAAGAGAATGCACACTTTTCATAATTTTGGGTTGCAGCTGAGTAGAAAGAACACCGCTGGAATTGCTCTCTCCATTGTGTTCTCGATCTCGAAGGCTCTGCACAAATGCACGTTGACTGTGGCAGTGTATGCTCAGAAGAAAATATTTTAGTAGAAGTTCTAAACACAGAGCACCTGTTTGAAGCAGGCTGCCTGCACGAGGAGCACAACTCAATTTGTACCAGTGCAGCGCCGGAGCATCTTGTAAGCTCAACTCTAAAATCCAGAAGTATAGAGTTAAGACAGACATTGGCAAATCAGATGTTGCCCACCAGTGTTTCAGTATAAGTTTGGTGGCTGTAAAGTAACTTCAAGGAAGAAGGAAGGCTTAGCAAAAGCAATGTAATTTTGGGGGGGGATAGGTGGGTAAGGGTGTCCTTTTTCCCGTCCCCCCGTATGTGCCTTTCTCCCTGTTTTGGAATGAGTGTAAACTACATTCATCCCTCTTGCTGAGGCATGATAGGATGCAGTTACCGCATGCCTTCAAGTGCTTGGGCTCTTGTGATATTTTTACCACAGTTTATTTTTATGTTATGGTGGTCCAGGAAACTCTGAATATGTTGTCTTTCTCTCTTCCCCTCAGAATACGCTCTTTCATTATGCACAAAGAAAATCTATGTGGGGAAATGGAGCGCCTGAAGTTTTTGGTGTAAAATTTCTGGACTTCTGTCTTGTAGACTTATTGCATGGTCTTCAGTCCAAACTTGGATGAACTGATATAAAGTTTGTCAGAGTGGGAAATGTGAGAGTAGTACTTCACTTCCCCTTTACCTTTTCCAAAAAGAAAACCTGGCCTATCTATCATCATTATGCTACAATTAGACAATGGGCATTTTCCCTTTATTTACAAACTGCATAGTTATCCTATAATAACTTCCATGTTAATTTAAGCGGTCAGTGCAGAATGGTTCACCTGAGCCATTGGATATGACATCTTACCTCCATAAATCACTTTATTGGAAGAGCAGCTATAGTACATGGGTAAGTGCCACATAAAAATCTTTTTTTTTTTTTTCCCCCTCAATATTGCCTGTAAGAATATTAAGACAAAAAAAAAAAAAAAAAATCTGTCGATGGCTTTTTAGGAGGTGTAGTGGAGAAAGTGTGTGATTAATTGCAAATCTCCATTTAAGATCATTTTTATGGGCACTTCTTCTTGTCAAGTAATGTTTCATTTGGAAGGACTCCGGATGCACAATGAATCTCTCAAAGATATCCGATAATATTGCTTTAGAACGGGATTTACTTTGCTACGTTTCTCCTTCACAATCTTTTGCATGTATCTATAGATTTAGGACTCTGTGATATTAAAAAAGAAAAGCATCAATTCGGCTTTAAAAAGGTGTTTCTTTTTCTTACTTTTTTTTTTTTTTTTTTTTTTTTTTAAATTCCTCAATTAAGGAAAGCATTCAATCACCAGAGAGTGGAATTTAAAAACAAGAAATTCTGTGTAGTTTTCATAGATGTAAAATGCTATTGGCTATTACTGGTAACAGTATGTGAAGTACCTGAAGATGAAGCCATTCTGGAAGAGTTTGCCATGTTCTCCTTAAAAATGAAAACTGGGTCTGCAGTGTTCTATTAGCGCAGAACTTGCACGTTAATTTCATTGCCATTTTAAGCTATAGTGCTGCAGTCTGTTTCAGACATAATTACTGTAGTGGGGCAAAAAAAAATAATTTCTCCCACAGCTCCTCAGCCCCCTGCCTTTCTCCTTGCCTCACCTTTAACCCCAGATGTCACCATTTTCAAGATCTGTAGGAAATCTGCTTTATTTAGTCTAAAACTAATTGCAAAGACTTAACACCACACGGCCTTCCTGCTTATGCTAAGTTAGAATTTTAATAGCGTTTTATTTAAATGTTGTAAGATGGCTTTTGTAAATGAAAAAATAAACTTTCTCTGGTAGTTAGAAGAGAGGAAAAAAAAAAGCATGGCACTGGAAAGCGCATGAAGCCTTATCATGGGCTGTGGTTACTCAGAGCAGTACTGCCTTCCCACACAAAGAACAGATTGTGGTTTAACTCTTTCCACGGCCTAGTTTTATGTGCCAGCATAGTATCAGAATTGTTCAGATCTCCGCTGGAAACTGCTAGCCAGTTTAATTATTGCCTTTGTGGCTCTTTGTCAAGCATGGTACTGTAGTGCAGTCGTTTATGCCCCGAACTATCTCCTGAT